TTGTTTTAACTTTTTACTACCACTGCCTTGAGGGGGTGGTAGCGTTTAGCTGCTAGACTGGCGAGTGTGTACGCTGTGTTGTGTGTGGTTCAGGGCAAGCAAGTATCGAGGAAATAAGGAGACCTTCGACTCAAGCCCACCTCCCCATCCCTCATCGCTCACTGTTGCCTCAATCGTTTGGCATTCTTTTTTATCCCATTCAAAGGATTCGATTGGAGATCGATCTCATTTCCCAACAAAACCTGGCTTGCAAGTAGAACAAGACTGCCACTTCATCATCAAGCACCGTCAGCATCGATATAACATCAACCTCGACTTGAAGATCTTGGGCACCCGTTGCGCTTCCACTCCCCAGTCAAGCAGATCTGATTCATAAAGGTGTGCCTCGCTCCTCTTCTTGCCTCCTCAACTCTCATCCATGCCCTCCCTAATCTATCCAATCCCGACCGAAAGCTGTCTTGTTCGATAACTCGGGCCTCCCAGCTCACTCAACCCTCTCCAGCTCCGCTCTTGCGCCCCTTTAAACTCTCGGTTTCGCTCCCTGGTGGAAATATCCACCCAGCGCAAACACGTCTCAACCCTTCCTTGCAAGGGCCATCCCCCTCGCTTCCACCCCCCTTGATTCTCGTGCACTTGATCGCACACATAAAAGTACTGGCCTACCAAAAGACAGCATCATAACGAGGCTGCAACTCATCAGCAACGATTGATCCCAAAATTCACAGTCATCAATCGGGCTAGAGTTTGTAACTTTGAGCCTGGCCGAATCGGTATAGCTCGGTTGAGATGCTCTTGTTCTGGGATTTGATGATGGTCCTGAGTAAATAATGCTTCAAAGCAACTGTGTTGGACTTGTCCCAGTTGCAGGCTTCAGTCGGAGTGAGTCGATAACGACCACCTCAAATCAGAGCGCCAATGAGAGGCCAACAGGCGTTCGAGTCGAGAGAGTGCCTGGTTTCCGATCATCTGGGTGCTTGCCTTCTGATGAAACCAAAAGTATACATATTTACTTCAACTGTTGTTGTTGTTGCTGTTGCTGTTGTTGTTGCTGCTGCTGCTGCATACAAACACCAATACAGTTACGAGCCCGACCTTCAATCCTCCCGACACCATCTTGGTCTCTTGAGCTGGACTCGATTCTCGGTTGTGGGTGTTGTTGTCCTTGTCCTCGTCTTCCTCGTAGGGGCCAGTTGTTTCACGGCTGCAATAAAATATACGTATCCGGGCACTGGTGTAGGATATCAGATGAGGAGGATGGAGGAGTGCAAGACCGGGATTTTTGTCCTGGAAGACCTTCTTCCACTCTTTGCGCGGGGGGGGGGCTCAATCCTTTCCTTCTCCTTCTCCTTCCCCGTCTCTCTCTCTCTCTGTCTCTCTCCAACCTAGTCTCTCTCTCTTTCTCGCTTCTTTCCCCTTCAACCCATCTTCATCTCGCATCTTCGGAGACTGCGTTTCCCCTATATGTATTCATTTATCACTTCGATTTTTTTCCATACATTTATATTTATGATACCCATTGCACTCTCATCATCTACCATCTATCCAACCTTGCCAGAGCTTGCCAGCTGAGCCGCTCCGTGTTTGATTCTCCATCCTTGGGCCAGCATAC